GACTATTGAATTGTTACTGCCTTGTCCCACTGTGCCCTGCTCCCCAGCAGTCAGAAGAGTTGAAGTCCTTTCCAGAAGTTAACAAGACTGTCTTTGTAAGAGGGTGTTTGGAGAGTAGAGTCTTCTTCCTTTGATCCTGAAACTGGAGAAGTGAACTAGAGATGTTCCCATGATCTGTCTGCCCCTGGTTTTACACGTTTAGGCCACACCAATTCAATTTCTTGGTTAACGGATTTTTTGTAGAAAAATAATGGAGCGGGCGGGCGAAAAAAAATTAAAATAAAAACAGGCCTAGGCATCCTATTATGGCCCAAAATGGTACGATAGGAGCCATGAAGTCAACACACCAGGCTGGTTTATAATTAAAACAATAGATTTTGAACTTTTAATGAAACAAAATTGCATTGTTACATTGAAAAACTTTAACAACTAAGAAGAAAAGCACATTTTTCAACCGTTTGGGCCAAAATATGTCTTTCATTGAGCATTTTACAGTTGATTTAGAACAAAGAATTTTGCAGTTGATTAAGAACAAATCAGAAAAAAATGGACAGGGCGAATCCGAGAAACAACAAATCAAATTGGTGTGGCCTAAAGAAGCCCCTTCTAATAGTAACATATTGGATGACATTGCACATGTGTTCCTTACAAATTGTCAGTCACACAAAGCTTTCTCTCACAAAGCTTCCAAAATGAAAGTGCTTACAAGAAGCTAGTATAAGTAGTAAAGACTCTGACTTAGTGCCAATAAAGATGGAGGCTTTGAACTTGAGTACTTTGCGCCATGACCTCGCATGACCCCCAGACTGTTGTCACAACTTCACCACACACTGTTGGTGCAACCATTTCACCCTGTCCTCACCTCTGTCACAGTGGACAAGTCCAATATTGTACTGTGCTGAGTGACAAGTGGCAGATGGCTCTGGATTGTACCACTCGTAAATAGGGGTTCCTTGGAAAATGTTTTCATGTACATTGAAGTCAGAGATTGGTGTCATATTTAGTTTATTGATACACCGGATAACGTCTATTTATGCAAATCATCAGTACATTTATTTAAGGCCATCTTGATTTGATTATATGGATGACATCCGCGCGCGCATGAATTTTCGGCCGTTTCCAAAAAAAAGAGTTTTCAACCATACTGTAAATCGTGCAAAACAGTTGCTAAATGAGCAAAAATATACCATAAGTTGCAAGGAAAACATTTAGAAACGATACCAATGTCGTAGAATGCCAAAATCAAAGGAAAAAAGACAAAAATGTAAAGAAATGAATTCGAAGACTAGATTATTCGCCATAACATATTCTGTGCCATTTGTTCAACCTTCATGACCACGTAGATTTCATAGTGAAAGCAACTTTTTTTTTTTGCAAAACTTTTTTTTTTATTCGCACGCGCATCATCAGTTTTGGGGTTCCCAGAGGATGTCATCCATATAATCAAATCAACATGGCCTAATTTGTGTACCAGACAAGAATAGTGTAAAATCATGTATCTTAATAGAGATCCTAATATAACAAACAAACAAACAAACAGACTTCTTTTCATGTAATCCATCTCTATAGTATATCTATACATTTCTAGTACTTCTTTCAGGTTATCCATGTGACTTGTGACTCATATATTAACCTTCTCTTTGCTGCCTAACCCCGTGACCAACAGAGAAATTCTGAATTGGTATCCAAGGGGCTTCTTCAGTGTGCTAAAGGTTAACATATCAGTTGAGCAGGAAATACTTTGTCAGTGTTCAAAGAGGCAACGGAAGTGCTCTAGTCCCAGGGTAACAAATCCTTTTCAGACCAAGTTGCAAGTGTGAGCCTTGTAGTTCATAGTCAAGTTCTCCTGGCTCATTTCATGGTTGCTATAGAAATTGTGACGCTAGAAATAAATGAAGACAGCAAGTCTACAAGATTATTTATAATTTTTTTTAAATTTCAGCTGTTAATACGATTCATTGTTTCTTGTTTCAAAGTTTTGTTTTTCTACTATTGCAAGTTTTGTTATTGAATTTTTCTTTCTTTTCTCTTTTCCACATAATTCTGTCCCTTCATAAGTCCATTTTAGTTTGCTGTACTTGGAAGGTTAATGTAGATAAGTGTGGTATCTGGAACACCATGTCTACATGTAGTTGTAAGGACTATAGCTTGGCTGGTATCCAACACAGCCCACCATCTGTCCCTAACATCAATTCTCTGTCAGCCCAGCTGAATTTGTTACATTATATAGATGGCAAGAGACTTGGGCTGTAGAAGTCAATGCGAGTTTGTTGCCAATATTCAACATACTATAGATTCATTTCCTTTCGCTGTAATTTTGTTTCGTGGTGGGAGGAAAAATAATGTTTTCCCGAAGTTTTAAATTCACATTTAATCAATTCTGTACGTGTAATTCAGTAGCATGCAAAGGGGACATATCCATAGTGTCTTGAATTGCAGTGGAGACAAAATATCGAAAAGCACAAAAATAAAACCACCACAAAAGTTCCTACATTTTCAGTATCCAGCAGATTTACATGTACGGTTCTTAGGCCACACCAATTTAATTTCTTGGTTAACGGATTTTTCTAGAAAAATAATGGAGCGGGCGGGCGAAAAAAAAACGAAAGTAAAAACAGGCCTAGGCATCCTATTATGGCCCAAAATGGTACAATATTAGCCAATGAATTTTGAACTTTTAATGATACCATTGCATTGAAAGATGGAATGAATAACTGTAACAACTACAAATGTAGGATGAAAAGGACTGTTTTCAACCGTTCAGGGCAAAATATGAGCATTTTGGTGTTGATTCTGAATTTTTATTTTTATTTGCAAATCAGAAAAAAATGAAGCAGGCGAATCCGTTAACCAAGAAATTAAATTGGTGTGGCCTTATGGAGAAGTATAAGTTTTTTATTTTTGATTGCTTTGAAAAGTAAGAGGTTTTATGTGAAGTTTATACAGACTGTAGGACTGGTGAGGAAAAAATTACCATTGAATTTTAACAGTTATGTAAAAGTTTTCATGGGAAATGCTCCATGCCAAAAATGGTCCAGGAAAAGTTGGATCAAACAGACATATCCAGTTCCAGTATAAATGGAGTGTATTTCTTCCCCAATGTTTTTCTTGGCTTGTTGTGATTTTCTTGATCAAAGGGAAGTCCTCAGCTGGATGGCTAGTCCTGGATGAGACATGTAGTTCCCACAGAGCCATACAAACATGTCGGGCAGCTGCCTGGCATGGGGTCTGGGATTCGATACTCTAACAATCAAAGGAAATCTCTAAAAATAAGGCCACACCAATTTAATTTGTTGGTTCTCGGATTCGCCTCTTCGTTTTTTTCTGATTTGCAAGAAAAAAAAAAATGCTCATATTTTGCCCCCCAACAGTTGAGGAAAGTCCTTAGTTCCTAGTTGTTACAGTTTTCCCATCTATCAATGCAGTGGTTTGATTAAAAGTTCAAAATTCAATGTTTAAATTTTAACCCAGCCTTTTGTGTTGACTTCATGGCTCATTTTGTAGCATTTAAGCCTATAATAGGATGCCTAGACCTGTTTTTATTTTTTTTATTTTTTTATTTTTCGCCCTGTCGCTTCATATTTTTTCTGAAAAAATCCGAGAACCAACAAGTTAAATTGGTGTGGCCTAAAGAAATGTTTTATTTTAAAATCTCAAGAGGGGGCAGGTGGGGACTTTGCCAAACCCTATTTCTTTCTTTATTCAATTAATCTTTACTTGTATCTCAAAGTGGTATTAGTCATTATAATTAAGCCCCTTTCGGTTTCAGTTTTGCATATTGAAAAAATGTATTTCCCATATGACTAAGTTATACAGCTATAACCAAAACTTATAAAAGATATTATATTTATGCCAAGGAGGTTGATTAATGTATTTTTATCATCCTTAGTTCATTGCTTGGTTGGCTCAATTAAAAGAGTGCTAAGAAAACTTTTATGAAAAATAATAAATGGTGGACTAATAAAAAGTTATAGGAATATTTATGGAAAGAATACTGTAAGAAAATCTTTCAATATTGCAATCCATAGGCCCAATTTTTATTGTCTTTATGCATGGACTGCCACAATGTATAGTTTATGCCCACATTTTGGAGTGATATGGACTGTTTCCAGAATACCGGGTAGTTAAAATGGACCGATAGCTTTTATATCCATGTCTTTTATATGAGTTACTGTACATGCAATCTTGTGTGGAAGAGATATAAAACGTTCCCCATTTGGTAGTAGACATTGTGTCAGTTCTATCAAAATTCTGGTTACCTAAAATTTTGCAAAAATATTGAAAGATGGCAAAAAAATATTAAAAACTTGTGATTTGGACAGGATCAGTATAAGAATCACATATTGCATAATACCATCATAATTCATATCCACATTAATGTCATAAATCCTTTCTCAGCCATATTTTAGTCTGACAATCAGTGACATGAGAAGGTTTTACCACTGTGTGATAAATAAGTAATGAGAAGAAGACAGTTATTAAGACGGATGAATCCCTCTGTGTTATCTGTAAGACATGGTCCATATGATACTGATCAGTGGGAGACATGTAATGGGAGTGCTTATCCTCCATCACAACAAGATGGGCACAGATAAGAAATGGGATGGGTACTTTTAAGATTTACCGTAGATTGGCAAATTTTTTCCATCATATTTCAACAATGTGGATCCTTTTGTATAGACTGCTTGGGTGGTAGAGCTGTCAAAAAATGTTGGTATATTCATTTTTTTTTTTTTTTGTCTTCTTTTTCTGTCAGTGTTCTTTTGGGTGTGGGGGGAATTTTGTTAAACTTATCACAATTTTGTTGCCAAAAGCCAATAAAACTTATTGACCTAATGTCAAACAGTTAAAAGATGTTTGAATTAGATCAATACATGCAAGAAAGAGCATATGACAGAAAAATCTGGAGTTGGCGAAACCCAGCCATGTACATTCTTGTCTAAAATATTATATAATGTTTCAGTTTGCTTACGATTTTTAAATTTTTTTTTCCACTCCAGGTATTACTACTACAATGCCCACAGTCAGAAGACAGTCTGGCATCGTCCCAAAAACGCTGACATTGTTCCGCTTGCAAAACTCCAGAAACTGAAGGAGAACACCGAGATTCAGGAGAGACAAGAACGCGAGAAGGAAATGAGAGAACGAGCCATGAGGAACAAAACTCCGCAGCAAAATGGAACGGACCCCCAGCAGGGCGACTCGAGACACGGCACGCCGCGCAAGATTGACTCTCCGCAGTCCCGCAAGAAATCTATGAACCAATCACTGACTACCTTTCAGGGGAAGGCGTCGACACCGGATCATTTGAACAATTACGACAAGTCGGCGCTGCAGAGCGGACAGTCACGGAAGAGGAGCCGGGACGGACCGCAGAATATCGACAACCCATCGTATGTTGATACCACAAAAATGGAGACTCACGCGTCGAAGTTCCGCGACCAACACCATCAGGGTTCGCCCGTGGTACTTAGGAAAAATGCGCAGGAAATTATGGATAATCGGGCGATGAACATCGCGCATAGCAGACAGGGGAGCAAGGCGTCGCAGGGATCGCAAGGCTCGTACGATTCCCAGGGAAACCTGGTCGGAAACAACGAGAACTTGAACTACAATGGCAACAACTACACGTCGGTTCAAAAGGAGAACAGTGACTCGGTATCGCACTCCAGACAGGGGAGCAAACTTTCAGATCGCGACCGACCTGTACATAACGATTACGTGGAGTTGAAGCGAGAAGGGGGCATCACGAATTCAGATTATGCCAATATAGAGATCATTCGCAGCCTTTCGAAAAAGACGACGCCACCGCCGCCGCAGGTTAGTGACTACCAGAACGCGGAAATGTTCCGGATAACGCAGTCGACGCCACAAGTGAACGCTCAGACTCCCGTGTCGGATTTGCAGACGCCTGGAACGGGAGCGTATAGTTCTGGTGACTTGACGACGACAGGTTCAAGTTCGAACACTCCCGGCTCCAGCGGTTATACACCAGGCGTGTTAAAGGAGTCTCAGGTCCCAAACTTGGAAGGGTCGTTTCGAGAAAAGCCCAGGAACCAAGTCGGTGAGTTGTCTTACAAGTTGTATATTTTAATATATAAGTTCTGAGTAGTAGATGGACAAGGAGGGATCACCTGCAACTGTTTTTTCCAGTTTCTCATTTATATCAAGTGTTGACTAGTTCTGAGTCTACATGACTACTTTTGGTAAAGAATTGACCAGGAAAATGTCTTCATTGAACAGTTTTTGACAGCCCATGCCCACTCACACATTTACACACATTATTCACACACTTATCACACACTATTTACATCTTTGTTTGTTACTGGAAGTTATTTAGTAGCACTTTGTTCTTTGAATTTGCTATCTTCTCAGAATTATCAATGTATTTAGTATTAGTGATACTTTAGCATAATAAACAGTGGTTCTTCAAGAAAGTCTCCTACTAAAAATGTTCTTTGCACATTCATAGACTCTATTTAACAAATCTGAAACTATTTTGTGTATTAATATTTATGATTTTACTTACCTTTTTACGATTGTACTTACCTTTATCCCCAACCCTTGGTATATGTTATCATTTTGCTCTGCTGTTTTTAATATGTACAGTATTTTGTGTATACCTTTATTTTATTTTGGATACCAGAGTTTCTTTCCGTTGGAAGTCTATGTCCATGTTATCCTGTGATTTTACTTACTTACCTTCTCTCCCTTATTTATGTTGCTGTCTTTTCCCCAAAATGACAAGTTGACTTTTACTTCAATATTTTGTGTGTGCACCACCTTTAGACTCTAGCTTTTCACTTTAGGTGATAGATTATTTCCAAAGAATTTATAGACATTCATGTACACATATACTATAGCACACACACACACTTTGTATCATAATTTGTGCATAGCATCATACCTTGCACAGAAAGTTGCTTATAATAATAAATGGTTTTTATTGTCCAAACAGTACCCGTGCAGTCGCAGCCTGTATACGGCTGAATTGATGCAGGGTATCACATAATAATCAATACAAATTACAACAATTACAACAATCAAATAATACACATGATACACATATTTGTTCTACAATTATTTTTTGTGGAACTGTCGCAAGGGTCTGTGCGGCTGCCATTCGGCGCCACAAGGTGACCTCAATACGACTTTCCCCAACCGAAGTAAGGTACCCATTCACACCTGGGTGAAGTGAGGAAAGTCGTGTAAAGTGCCTTTCCCAAGGGCACAACGTCGGGGCACATGTTCAGACATGTACCGGGTAAGACTCGGAATCGAACCCGGGTCTCCCCGGTTCATAGTCGATTGCTCTATCCACTACACCACCCGACGCCACCATGTCGGGTGTATGTTACTGAAATGTAGATCTATGATTTTATTTAAAAATAATTCCTTTATTGTTATATCTCTGTTACCTCTACCCCCACCTCCACTCAACTAGTTTTAAGTTCATCATTTAAACTTTTGACTTAGCATTTGGAGAATGACTGGTACACCTATCAAAAACAAAGTGTGTAGTTTTACACATGTTTAACCAGTACATGTGTTTTGTCAAGCATTCAAGCTGTTACAAGTGAGATTAACAGATATCAAAGTAGGACACATAAACATTGAACATCTGCAAGTGTCAGGTAGGCTTTAGTATGCGATTTGGAGAAATTCGAACGTCGCGTTTCACCATATCGCATGTCGATTTTGGCCACCGGAGAGCGGTGACGCGCAGATCGGCCCTGTGTGCGATTTTGGCCACCTGAGAGCAGCAACGCGCAGATCGCCGAAATGAGGGGCAGGCCATCATGTGTGTGCGAATTTCTCCGCTTGAAGGCGGGAACTCGCAGATCGCCGAGATGAGATCGCACGTATGGGAACTGCTCCGAAATGTGGTGTGGCCTGATGACGTGAATCTTAAACATCATATATTTACACTGGGGATTTTATAGCTAGACCAAATGCAAATCGCAAAGTTTGATTAAAACTGTCTTAGTATTAGTCAGAAAGTTAACTTGTTGCTTTCTTTCCTCCACTCACAGAGTCTGCAACAGGACCGAGAGGAGTTTTCGTTGAGAAACACTGAATCGCCGATAATATCCACGTAGATAGAGTCGGCGCCATATTTACAATGTATTTCAAATATTTCTGTATGATTTTGAGGGGTGTACAGTAAAATTACAATGTTAACGAGAGTGGGATTGCTGGGGCCATCTAAATGGCGAAGTTATGAATAAGTAGGATCGCCGAAAAGCATGTGTGAATTGGTCAACAACTCGAAGCAAATATCGGAGCAAAGTACTAGTACTCTTTACCGACGTTTATTCCTTTTACCGACTGAGTGCTCCCTTTATCGCGGCCTCGAACTTGTGGCTATAACTTAGCCCATCTGCGCTACATTTTATTGCGTGCTAGAATAAGGTGGCCCTCTAATGCTAACTTCTATCTACAGGGGGATTTACGACAATCGCCGTAACTTCCCTCTCTACCAAAATAACAAGATGGCGACGGTAATGTTGTGACGCTATCCCGTCGTTCATTGTGGTATCGGCTTGGCGACTTTGCGGTAAGTATTTTGATAGATATCAAGATAGAGAGAAATTATTTGTACATATTGTTCATATATATTGATATAAAAAGAGTATTCAGTCAAAAACCGCAGCGCAAAATATCGCGGCCGGAGCCCGACGTTATACATGACAAGGTTTGCGCTGGGATTTTTTTTCAGACCAAATACAAATATATATACCTTCAAATTTGGTTGAAACTGGCAGTTTGGTAAGGCTGTCTTACTACTAGTATTAGACAGTACCGGTAATTAACGTAAGTTAATTGCCTTCTTATATTTCCCTACACTGGACCCGGGAGGACTATTCGTTGAGAAACTTGTCATAAATCACCGAAAATACCGAGGTAGACTCGGGGACAGATTTATCTGAAGAGTATGTCTAGAGTTAATTAGAGTAGAATCTTCGGGCAGGAATGACGTCTGTAGTATGCTGTGAAATTATAACGTTAACGTTGGCGAGAGTGTATGGCTGGCCCATCTAAACTACGAAATATTACAAGTACCGGTAAGCTGACCACGCCGATCAACCTACGGTCCACATGTTGCCGGTAAGGTGGGCTACCCTGGCCCGAAGAACCCACTGATAGCACTCAGGGGCTTACCGCAGGCATCAAGGAAGTTCTTCGACCAAGAACAGGTAATGTTATAGCATATATATGCAATTCGCAACAACAGGAAGTAGGTTGTTTTGTGTATGTTTTCTGATTTTTTTGTAAACATGAAATTCACAAGCTGCGTTCCGGTAAACTTCCGGTTTGTTTGTTTTATTTGTTCAGATTGATCTCAAAATTTAGAAGGATCTATGACCTTAAAGTCTATCCAAATTTATATGTTGAAGAATCTAAATTTCCTTTGATAATTTGTCTATTAAGACAACGAGTCTGTATGGGGTGACGCACGCATTCAAGGGGTCATTGTCCTCTGAAGGAACGCCCCAGAATGCACCGCGTTCCCTGCTCTATTTCACCCCTACAGCGAGTTGGATTCATTTAATAGAACAGATCTGTGTACGTTGCCGGTCAAACAAATTTGAAAATTTTTGGTGCAGAGGAATATCGATCACAATAACCTATATATTCATTATCATTTTTACAACAACCCCAACTGATCATAAGATGTATTGAAATATAATATAGCTACAAGAAAGTTCCCCAATGAAAGAAATGCTTGAGTTGGCGTGTGCACGCCTGCGGGGCGTGGATCCTTCAGTTTTGCCAAAATGCTCCGTGGTCTTCCTTTTGCTCTACTTCTCCTTACGCAAAAATGCAAGGACCTTGAGCTAGAAGGCATGGTAATAGGACGCTTGCTTCACCTTCGGTATTTCGACCGTGAAATTGATAAAGGTAGAAAACTTCGAGAGAGTACGTCTGAACACACTGGCAAAGGTACTAGTAATTAGAACTAGGCTGATGCGAATCAAGCTAGTCCGAAGAATTTGCAACAGGTAGACTATCAATGATTGGCTGGAAGTCACCGTATGTGGACATTTCTATCATATTATTGGTTGTCACACCTTATGAAATATTGCTGTTGTTTTCTTAGGACATCTGGTGGACAACGCCACGTACTTTATTGTTAGGCAAAGGTTGTTATTGTTTGGTGAGGTTAATGTGTTCATATTGAAATTTCCCGCGTCGTCAGAGTGTTTTCCCACCGTACAGGTTACTTACACGCATTGTGTTGATGAGTAGATAGTTTAATTAAGAAGAAAAGGCTTAACCTAACTAGTCTGACACTGTCTGAAAATTATGCATAGTAGGCAATGTCAAAGAATTTTCTAACGGAGGAGATGAAAATCAAAGACTTAAGGTAACCGCACAATCAATATTTTCTTCGTCGGTTCATACGCCGACATTTTACAATATTCCAAGCTATAAGCTTATTCTACGAATACAAACTACAGAGTACTGACACATCATTCTCTGTTTTTTGGTAGACTTCTAGTTAAACAAAAGGTAGGAAATATTTATTCCCTGTAGCTATGTGTAATGTAAACCTTTTCCAGGGCGTTGTGTGCCTGATGATCTCCCCAGCATCTACGTTCGATCACTTACCTTGGGATGTTATCCTGTCTGTTGAACATACTTACCGGAATTGAATTGGTGGCGCAAACTGCCGTCTTGACCGCGTCGACCGGTGGGATTCTAGCTGAAAAAATACTGCACAGACACTTCTAAAAAATTACCAAATGTCCTTTTAAGCAAAAACTACCAAAAGGATATGTCTATAAAGTGTATGTGGAATATACAGTTATAACCGAAGAACACTTAGTCTATTATTGTTTGTTTGCTTTTTTTTACCGACCAGCCGGGCAGGTGCTCTGGCCGGTGCTCTGTTCGTGTAAACCAGGATTAAAAATACACAGAAACAAACATTTTCACAAAGACCAAGTAGGTTACTATGTACTTCATGATGCCGTTGTAAGACCATGTACCAGCCGTCTATGGGGTCGTCACGCTGATTACAGCGTCACAGCCCACTCGGGAGCCTGCACTGGGGTGGGCTCAGCGGCGGGCCGACTTCTGGTGCCCTGTTAGTGGCGCCGCAGGTCATGCGCGTTCCGGCTCTTGGGTGGAGAGTTTCGCACAGATCGCGATCTGCGCGTTTCCGTCTTCAGGGGGACAAATTCGCACACAAATGGTGGCATGCGCCGCCCATATGGCGATCTGCGCGTTTCCACTCTCAGGTGGACAAAATCGAACACATAGGGCGATCTGCGCGCCTCCGCTCTGAGGTGGCCAAAATCGACATGCGATATGGTGAAACGCGACCTTCGCGTTTCTCCAAATCGCATACCCAGGTCTAGCTCCAAGTGTGGGCCAAATACAAGTAGGGTTAGATAAAAAAAAAATGAATAAAAAGACATTGAATTGTCAACTCAGAATATCTAAATTTGATCCCTTACATATTGTATACCAGAAATAATGTGGAATGCAACTTTTACTGTTTCTAACTCATCTCCAAGCAAATGTATGATATGGCTCAGTGTTTTTACACATCTTTTTATGGCAGTTTCTACATCTTTCTATAATAGTTGGTGTTTGTTTTTATCTATTTGGCTTTGCCTGAAGTGCAACAAAGACGTGCACAAAATGCTGAGCTGAACCTTGCGTCTGCTTGGAGATGACAGCTAGCAGCCCCTGGCCACATTTTGTGATGTTTGAAATGATTTCCTGGTATGTGGAAACGTGATGCGTGTCAGGAAAACTATCCCAATCCTCCACAAGGACAGGTCAAGCACTCAGTGACAAGGACATATCATATCAATATGAAGCAGTTTCTCTTCCCTACAACCAGTTTCTGACCAAAACGTGCGCAAGTTGATTCGCGTAAGTTTATGATATGACCAAACATGCCCAGTTTTTGGCCTAAACATGTGTGCATTATCGACAAGTGTTTATTTTCTGTTGCCATCCCCCAAAACTGGTGATTACTGTCTTCTGACGATTGAAAAAATGTCTTAAATTCCATAGTTTTCTTATAAAAAAATGAATAAAGTAAAAGGTCCTTGACATATTGTAAAGTTGAAACAAAATCATGCAAGAAATTTGGCCAATTACAAAAGTCAAGAAATTGTTGGGTTGTTTTCCCATAATTTGGTGAAGAAATTTCGCAAATACAGAAAAAGCCCCAATGAAATAAAGTAGTACACTGTAGACTGACAGAACACTGAAATGTATGTATATTCTCTTCTTCGCAAGCTCCGAAGAGAACTATGTTTCCCGTCTATTTCACAGACAAGCACACACAATTAGGGTAGTGAGCTCACCGCCATGAAGAAATGTAGCAAATATAGAAAAGGCCCCAATGAAATAAAGTAGTAGACTGTAGACTGACAGAACACTGAAATGTATGTATATGACCCTGTTCATACCAGACTTACATTTAGCGGTTTCAACCGGTTTTTCAAAAACCCGGCTAAAACCCTTAGCGTTCATACCAGACTTTTGATAACCGGTTTTGAAAAAATCCTGTCCGGTGAATATCCAATTAATCGGCCATGACTGCAGTTTGAATAACCGTTCCTCCCGCTCTTCCGATTGTTGTCCTTGGCCTTCTTACTTGTATGCCGTCTTCAGTTTTTTTTTTACCTTACTGCGGCACTGATCCTTTATCTTCAAGAAATCAGCCTCCTCCAACATCATTTTCGGTTGAGCCCTCCGCCCCCCCCCAGCTTTTTCGAATTCGGCGACTCGTGCTCTCCAAACCTAAGTATCAGGAGCGTCTCGTCCGCCGACCAGGTTGCATATGCTGATTCCATCGCAAAATGAAGAGAAATCATGGAAAAACAGTGGAAACGAACTCAAGTTGGTCAAAACAACGCGATCTAAGAAGCTTGCAGGTCGCACTCGGTCAGGATGCTGACCCCGTGACCCCGAAATTATGACGCAAAAACCGGTTCAATAAACCCTTAGCGTTCAGACCAGGTTTTTCGGTGGAAAAACCCCCACAAAAACCCTTCAAAAACCACCTCCCGAGGTGGTTTTTCAAAATCGGATTTAAACCCCTAAAAAACCGGTTAATTTGCGTTCACACCAGGTTAAATAAAAACCGGTTTTTGAAAAACCGGTTGAAACCGCTAAATATAAGTCTGGTATGAACAGGGTCTATGTATGATAAGCACTATAATCTGGGCCAAGCCAATGGCAAACAGGTCATTCACCTCAGTGGAAAACAAAATGTACTAAAACTGGTTGGACTTGATGATAATGGAGAAAAAAAGACTTGATTCATCTTAAGACATCCTTAGGCACAGTGTTTGCTTTCAAAGAAATTGGAACAATTTTGCAAGAACTTTCAGGCATTAAGGTGTCAAGGAAATGTCATTGAATGTTGGTCAGCACTCATGATTTTCAAAAGCCTTACAAAGACCTCCCCCCCCACACACACACACACCGAATGACGTCAAACTACACATGCATTTTCATAAGTTCTGTGGGGATTGTATAGTTAGGAACATTGTTAGCATTTTTACCCAGTTGCATGAAAATTCTAGCAACCTGCAATATTATTATTACACAATATAAAAGAAAACACAAAGATAAATTAGTCGCTTTCACTTTCAACTCAGGAAATTTGTTATTTTGTCCAATCTTTGACTAGACTCAATAGATCTGAAGTAAAAAAAGAGCTTACACATTTCAAGGCAAAAACACTTGTATAGCTAACAAAATCAATTAACTATCAGTGGTGAAAATTACTAAAATATACTGTTTGAGTTCTTTTTCAAATTACCTCCTTGTTGATAGCAGGATGGAGTTGTTATCCAGTGGATTAATGGCTTAGTCGGTGAGATAAAAAGATTGAGCTTGTGTGCCCCACCCTGTTTGTGGGACTTTGATATGTCAACTGAAACAGGATTTCCTAAAAAAAAAACATTCCACACAAATTTTGTGTCTTGCTTCTCAAAGACTAAATGAATCATTACAGAAACCTGTGTTTTGTTAGAATTATCCAATTTTCCAATTTTAGTGGTCACGAAAAAGTATAGATTTGTAACAATATTTATTTGAAGTTTGGATTAGCCATGTACATTTTAATTCATTAGTTATGTGGGTATCATTTTTTAAAATTTGTACCATTTCAAAATAAAAAAAGATATGTAGTTCCAGTGACAGATATTTTACCTGAAACTTCTATAACAAATGATTTTTAAAATGTGATTTAGATTTTCAAATGATTTTCTTTAGGTATACATATGCGTCCTATGGTAGCAATATAACAAGGAATTAATCAATGATGGGAGACTTCAACCCTTTTATGTAGGTCAGAAACACACACAGACAGACTAACCAAAACAATACTTCCCTCCCTTTGGAGGTAAAGTAATACATAATTTAGTTCTCTAAAAACTTCCAGTCAAGCCCAAGCCCCATGTAGACCTGTATATATTATTACTGCATGTTCTAGAGCGGTCGTCCAGCGATGGCGAGAGAGCGGGATCGTACGGCAAGCGGCAGGCGCCCAACCTGCCGACATCACAGTCCGAGGGCGAGATCGGCGCCAAGGTTCGGCGCGGGAGTAACCGCTCCATGCCCGGTGAGTGGAATCCTGGGATACATGGACATAGACTTCCAATGTTGCTCTGAGAAATTTGAATTTTTTCATGTAATTATTTTTGATTGACAATGTTATCACATACGTTTTCAAAACTTATGATTCACAAATTGCTTCATCAGATTGTTACATCATTGCCAAATAAGGTTCTTATAACATTATACTATGAATTATCATGCCATTAAAATATGATTCTACATACACCATAACATTCACGTACATTTGTATATCATGTACAGGTGTAAACTATATTCAAAATGTTCTCTTTTTTTAACAAATTTTTTACAAACTAAGAGGTAGCCTGGAGTCCAGACTGTTCCTAGGGCCCACACAGGCCAGCATGTGGGCTACGGTTTTCCTTGGCCCCTCTGAGGAAAGATTTGCCTTGCAAGTCTGGCTTCCAGGTTAGGTATAGAGCCTATGTGTAAAGTGTAGCTCTCCAGACAGACTACACACATGGGTTATGCAGGGCAGACCAATTTACTGGGTAGGTAGATCGCCCTGCAGTGCACTGTGGGATAGGTGATGTCCTGAGGGCATGTTAGGTGCAGGCAGGCTGAAGTTTCAACTTAAGTTTATCTCTTCTTACTTTTCTCAATACCATTTTGAATCATTTTTAATAAGTCACAGCACTCTTATGATTTTTATTGTGGTTAGATGTGCCTCATATGGAAATTTGTATGGCAGTAAAAATTTGGTTCACTGAGCAATTATGGCCCCTTTTGAGATCAGAGATCAAAGAGCAAAGCAGGAACATTAAATGTTACGGCTTGAAAAACAGCAGCTTGAATTGGTGTTGATGGCAGTACTGTAGAACACGGTGTTTTGGGACAAGTTTTGATAGTTTAATAGTCTAAAGACCACAAAGTGATTGACTTAAACATACATACATTATAATGTAGAAATGTACTTTTGAAGCATCAACAAGACCTGATTAATGCATAACGTGTTACATGTATGCAAAGTACTGGATTGGTAATTATTATTAGAAACAGTCAAAATGATCTAATTTTGGTTTTCTCATTTTATGCCCTGCTAAAGTTCGGTATCCTTAGTATACCATAGCATCTATCCAAATTCTTTGAAATTCCTGACATCTGGCACAAAACCCATTGCCAAAAGTATCTTGTCATTCTACCTTAGAAATATACATTGCACTACTTGTTGCATGATTTGGAAGATAAAAGACATTTAAAAGTTTAACTTACTCTCTCTGTCTCCGATTCGAAGGAAATTCTTAAAGGATTTGATTTAAATCATCTGATAACTGTTTATACGTGACCTTTCTATAACCCCAGGGGTCACAGATAAATGTTGTGTTCCGTGACCTTGATGGGAACAACAACATGTGGGGTCGATCCACCCAGCAGGACCACAGGGGGAGACAAAAGGGGCACAGATCTGGAAATGTCCCTCATTAGTACAACCTGCCCTCCCCTATCAGTTAATTGGAACCATCTGGACATACTATAGGGAAACACAAAACAATACAAGATTGTTGTGTAAACTTTTGCAATGGCACTAGATATATTTGTATTGATGTATATCAAACATAGATATGATATGATGATAAGTTTTGACAACTCTTAATTTCGAAAAAGTCTAATATATTGCTCTGGACTCAGATGAATTATTTCAGGACAGTAGTTTTAACTTTTATACCTTTTACTGCTACAAATTTTAATTTGTGTACACGTACTAATTCTTCATTTTACTGTAAAACATTTAGAGTGGTTTCATTTTTACTTTTCCACCACAAATTTATGACACGGCAAATTTCCATTTCCAACATACATTTGTATTACCACTTTATGATATAATTGTTTCAGCTGTGAATTAAATTAAAAACACTTCGAAAATCTCTGAAAATATCCCTCATACTGCAAAATGAAACGATCGAAAATCAAAGTAAATGTACTTCTTCTTTCATTTGAGGCATCCGCCTTCAACTAGCTGAAGATTCTGCTGCCTTTTGTGGCTAGTACGAGATGGGGTTCGCCAGGCCTCCATCCCAGTGACTTGTAGTGAACCACCAACTCCCAGACAGTTTTGTACCATCGCACACCGGGGCATGCCCCTACTCTTTTTCGAAAGGTGTGGTGGGTTCTTTTACGTGCGTGGGGTATGGCTCTCCCCAAACACGGGACCTCATTTAACATCCTATCCGAGGGACGTCCCTAACCGAGGCTAGGTACTCATTTACACCTGAGTGAAGTGATGAAAGTCATGTAAAGTGCCTTTCCCAAGGGCACAAGGTCGGTGACATGGGTGGGGATCAAACCCAGGACCTCTAGGTCCTGAGCCGAAAGTATTTATGGCATCTAAACAGGCCTGTACCACAGGTACATGTAGGCAGGTGTTTTGATATTTGATGCTAATCCTGTAAACTTTTCTACAGGAAGCAGGGTTGTTTGTTTGTTTAGGAGGTGGGCAGGAGGATGATGTCACTGTCCACAACTTCCTGTGGTGGTTTTTTGCCTTGCCTCACCCTATAAACTCATTACCTCAAGCATAGGTTAACATCCTTCAATAATATTTCATCAGGTCGGCAAGAGACTGTATAACAAAGTTGTTTAGAGAAACACCTTTTTTTTTCTATCCGAAATTTTGGTAGTTTTCTTTCACCTTTTTCGGGAATCGAAACCAGTCTTTGTTGCCCTGAAAAATGTGACAGACAGTTACCAAAACCTCAGATGTGAAAAAACACTACTGGTTGTTAAATAAAGAACCGTGTTACACAAAGGTTGAGCTGGTTCCCTCCTTGATTTCTGAATGTCTTTGAGCCCTCAAAGTGTTTGCCCTCCAAAAAATGGCAGTTACAGACCATTATATTTATCGTGGTAATACAGTGTTCGAAATACCTGTCTGCAGTCTGCAATCTGCAGATAGATTTTCAAGATTGCAGAAGAAAAATTTATACAATCTGCAATTTTGCAGAAGGAAAAATAGACTCCAGATTCAATAGTTTTCAATTTAGCAAACTTTGTCTAGCACTCTCAGGTCCTATCAAGGACAGACAACACTTGAGCTCCTGTTTTGAAACAACAGGAGCTTCTTCACTAATTTGCATCATCTTTGTCTTGTCTATCTTTTATTTCCCTTTGGACTTCCAAAAATTTGTCTTCACTAATTTGCATATCAATCAATACTTTTTGCTTATAAACCTGCAGTTCTCCTTCAGTCTCTTAGTGTCACTGATGAGAAACGTAATAGTCTGACCGTTTTAGGTAGCACCAAAATTATATACAGCTACTTGAGTAACTTTTTTGTCTTTTATTAGTATGTTTTAGTATGTTTTTGCAGAAAGTTTTTCCAAATTGCAGAACAAAATTTTGACTCTTCTGCAATATTGCAGAGCACTGAAAAAAAGTATTTCGACCACTGTAATAACAAGGGTTGCGCTCTAAGGGCAAAATCTACCTGCCACAATTATAACAGGTGGATCTGAGGGTCCCTTATCACTGTTCATAATCTGCAAAAGGATCAAATTTCGTCCTCCAAATTGATTTTAAATTTTTCCTGTCTCAAGTTGTAGAAGCCCTGTGTACACAGAACACAGGCAGGCATCCCCTGAGTGCCTGGTGTTGTGGGTTAGCTTTTGCAGGTGGCCAGGAGTTTTAAATCTTGAATTCCTGGATGACATTGGAAATTGATGCGTCTTCCCTACTTCAAAGTGGTATCATCTAATTTATCCATGTTTTTCACCTAACATTGGACTAGACTATTCCCTAATGGGGGTAGAGTAATTCATTCTTGGTGTACACAATGAATGTTGTAGGCATGAGGTCATTGTTTACTTTTCCATCAAGTTTTGAAGTTCGCAAACAGTGAACAACAGGCCAGCTGACTTGTATGAACGATAATTCACCCCTCACTATTGTTAGACTTGTACTTAGCCCTACTAACTGAACTGTACTTAAAAACAGACTTTGTCTTTATATTCAAAGCAACCTTTGCTTGGGGCAGGGGGGAGGGGCAATGCTAGATATGTAGGGTCTAGTATGGTATTTGAATGTATATTTTTATAGTGCACCATTGCATAGTTGACAGGGTATGAAAACAGGTACACTTCATCATTTTCAGTAAGGTAACACGAAAAAAATGACACAACGTTTGCCCCCACAAATTGTGGAAATCTCTCAATAAATCATATGAAATATCAAAGAATTCATCAAATGAAGTGTAATATCCAATTGAATTACATCATACAATCCACTCCACAGTTCCAGTACATTCACCAAAACCTTAAATAGTTCGTTGAAGTCTGAAAAATACTTGTTAAGTAGTAATGGAGTTTGGGAGGGTCTTCAAAGCCAGATGTTGGATAGATACCAACTGTGGAATTTCTGAAGTATGAAAGAAATATCTACATGCACTGTTGACCTCTGCAACAAGGTCAAATGATATAGTAGTCCCATTCATCAAGGTCATTGCCAGAACAAGCTTCCTCCATTACTGAAGTCATTTATCATATTAACCTCTGACATCTACATGTACCTCTGCCAAATTCCATGTCAATACATATTTCTCAGACTAGACAAGACAGTACAATTCTCCCTTTGTTTGATCATCAAAAACAAAGGATTCAGTCACTAGAAGACCTCTACTTGAAAGTGGTTGGAAACAGTAGAAATTGGCAGAATATTCAGATAACATGCCAGGAGAGTTGGTCTGCGAAGGAGTACTGTTTGGTAGAGGCTATCAGAAAGGGACTTTTTGTCATATTGGCATTTAGAACTCACCACTGACAGAGTACAGTGTATAACATACATGTACAAGTACTGTAAATCACTTTATGTTTGCAGTAGCAAAAGTTTGCAGTCTAAGAAAAGTTGACATGTTTGCCAAGCTATACATTCACGGTGGCGGTAGGTGCAGCAAAAATAAAGTCTGCAAATTATTTCTTCAAGGTAATGATAAGTTTGATGACCACAAAACCTGTGACTATAAAAATACCACGAAAAAATCATGATTTACAGTAC